GGTCCAGTTTACGAGATCCCACAGGAGTTCCTGACTTTCCCCAGAGACCTTGCAGTGCATCGGCTCGTTCTGTTACCCTGGTTATTGCTTGGCTTTTCTTTTTCCCCAGGGAAAACTTGGGAAAGTTGCTTATCAGAGAAGATGAGGTGATAATGTGGTGCCCACAAAGTGTGTTTGAAATTGCTCACCCTGTGCCTGGTGCTTCAGTGCTGTACCAGATCCCCAGTTTTACCTGTGGAAATCTGGAATATAAAGGGCAGGTTGTGTGACTGCATCTCACGGGGTTTATTCCCAAAACTGGCACTTTTTAAGATTGCTTGCTTGATCCTGGGTGCAGTAGTTTTGCTTCCTGCTCCTGCTGTGTGGTGGTTGTGAGGAGCCATCCCTAGGTGGGACGTGTGTCCTCGCGCGGGGCTGGGCCGGCACTGCCTCGTGCCACGCTCAGGGCTCTGGTTTTAGCTTCCTGCCTGGAGAGAGATGCAGGGATTTGTGGTTTGGCTTTTTGTGTATTTTGTGGATTGCTAAAATATGACCTTTCCTGCTAAGAGGCTGGACTTGATCCCAAATCCTGTGAATTTCACACAAGATCAGGTTCTCACGGCATCGGGGTTGGTTGTCAGAACAGTGGCACTCACGGGAGGCATGGAATAACTGCCTGCTGTGAGCAGAACTCTCAGGTGCACTCCCTCCCGGGTACCAGGAACCTTTTCCACATAAAATCATACACTGGGATTTCCTCGAGTTGCCTCTGGTTTCCATACAACAAATACCACCCACCAGCTGGGGGTGAACACATCGATCACAGCTACACAGGAACTCCCAGACAAGCCCTGGGGGAGCCTTTCACGGTGTTTTGAAACCTTATCTCGTTCCTCTGATCTGTTTTCTCTGGAGATTCCCAAAGGTCTCGGTATGGGTGGATGAAGATGAAACACTACTCAGTGTTCAGCTATGGGATATTTGGAATCTCTTGTAAATGAGGAATGCAGGAGCTGAGTCCCAGATAGAACCTAATCCTGCATGTCTCATATTTGCAGCCTGGAGACAGAGAATCACTAGATCCTCCCAGGCCTCCAACACCAGGGAAATGAAGGTTTATAATGGAAAATGTGTTTTATTTTGTCATCAGAGAGGCTTAATTCCACAGGGAGTAAAGCTGAAAGAGGATCACTGCTCTGCTGGGTGAGTGGCCTTGATCAGCCACACTTCCACACTGCAACTGTCCTGCTCCATGCTGTCCCTCCTGTGTCTTTGTTCCCAGGATGGATCATGGTTGTTATCCTCACAGTAAATACAGTACTGCATACTGGGTAGAAATTAAAACTGGCAAATTCCATGTGTTTTATGTCATTTGGCATTTTGCACAGCCCCCCTTCAGTTTGTCATAAATTCCTAAACCAGAGCAAGGTCACATCTGGTAGCAATTTCACTCTGCCAGATGAGGCTAACCCCATAAAACCAAACTCATTTTCTCCAGCGCCGCTCACTGACGAGTTCTGCTCCCTCTGCGTACGACATGCCGCGTGCCCTGGGAGCTCCACAGGGTGAGTCAGGCTGAGACACTTTCACACTTTATAAACTGTAAGTTTTGGAACACAACTTTGTGTCCAGTCCATGAGGCAGTCCAAGCAGGGCACAGGCTGAAGGCTGCATGGTAACAGGCTGTGGCTCCCTCCTGTTCTCCTGTGCAGCAGCACATCCCTGCAGAGTTCCATGCTGTTCCTCAGTGCCCCGTGTGTCTATCCCCTCACACCCTGAGGAACCTGTCACATACAGAATCCATACATAGCTACTGCTCTGCTCCTCTTTTGCATGCTCTTCAAGTAGTTCTAGCAAAAGTTGTGAGTCTTGGGCAAATCAAGATACACATGTTGAACGCTGAACAAACATTCGTTGCACTAACAAAGTCATGGAGTGATGATCAACCTTTGCACATTGTAATAACTGGAAGTAATTCCCAGTACCATGGAAGTTCAATAGCAGTCAGTAGTTTTGTTTGATCACATTTCCATTGTCCTGTGTTTTGGTAACAGTGGTTATTTTGGTATGTCATCATTGCTTCCAAAGCACTGTGTGGAGCTTGGTGACCCTCCCAAAAGGAATCTCAAACCAGAGCGTGGCAGTAAGGTTCCTTCACTCACAGGAGCAAGGAGTGAAACGGTGATTATGTGTGTTGTTAAATCAAAATAACAAACTTAGTTCAAAAAATGTTCTTTCAGGGCTTCCTGGGTTTTGCACGAGAATCTCTGAAAAAGCAGGTCATCATTTTAAATAAATTTGTTACTCTTACCTGTTATAAATAAAAGCTCATGAAGTCCACTGTGACTGGGAAGCAGTAGTTAGTTAGAAACCACCTTATCTGCTTTGATTTTTGTGACCCAATTTATACCCTTTTATTCACAGGCCAAGTATCCTGACATTGTGGCCCTTCCAGAAGGATTGCTGGGAGATTATATCATTCTAAGGGACCCCAGAGTTCCTGAGTAAGCCAATAAATGCCATTCCTGATTCATGGAGCTTTGGGATTGTGCAGGCCAGGGCAGCATCAGAGTGGGACAGCTCGGGGGTCACTGTGTAATTGGAAGCAGCTCTGGCTACACTTCTGCATTGTTTGAGAAGGGCAACAGTTAGATGAAGGAATTACTACCCTACCAGCCACGTGGGATTTGTTTGGACTCCCTGCAAAATGTGTTCTGGCAGGTTTGGGATATTCAAGAGAAAAAAAATCCTTACAGTTACCTGTAAGATAATGTTATTATCACTGTCAGCAATTCTGTAAGGGCCAAGGAACATTAACTGCTTTGTGGAGGGATCAGGCCATTTCCTTCTCCTGGTACATCTTGCTATAACATGCTTTAATTTATATGGAAATACCTGGAAATAAAGCACAGCTCCCTCTGTCACATTTGTGTGTGGAACAGCAAACGAACTGTAAGAGCTGGTGCTGCTTGGTGCAGCCAAACCTGCTGTGCTGAGCTGAATAGCTCAGGTTGATGGAATGAACTGTTAGACCATCACATGCCTTAGTTTAGTTTCTGTCACCAGGTGCCAATTCCATTCCCTCTCACCTCCAGGCACGAAACACAAGAATTTAAGCACCATTTCAGTGGGTTGGTAGAAATCAGACTGGCAGAGGAGTTTGTTTGCAAAATCCCAGAACAAGCTGTGCACAAATTCCCAAAGGATTTGTAACAAACAAAGTGGCAAAAGGCTGACAAATCACCTTTGAAGGAAAGTTTTTAGAGTCATGATGGCACAAACACTGCTGAGAAAGGGAGCCTCCTCCTCACAGTGACCTGCTGTGTGCAGATCAGATTTGGATTAGGAAAGCCTTCCCTGCAGTGAAGAATTCCACAAGCTGGGAGTGGAAGGGAATACAAGACACAGTAAAGCAGAGGAGCTGTTACCAAGCAGTTTACTTTCCTCTCTTACCTTTTCCCCACTGCACTATGCAAATGAACCCTTCCTAAGAGACAAAGAACCAGGGGGAAAAGTCCTTAAGGTTGAAAATTTCGATGTACCTGGAACCTTTCCTTGTTAATAGGTTACTGGTTTTCCTCAGTTTATTAAGTGGTCCTGGTTCCTGAATCCAGAGCTGAGTAAGTTGCAGTACATGAGGTGAATTTTGTTGGAGAGCACGAGACTCCCAAATGCTGTGCTTGTGCTTTGAAGGAACCTTAGAGACAGTGGCCTGGTTAACCCTGAACTGATTTCCTGTGCACCCCATACAGGTTTGAATTAATGGTTGTCTGGAAGATCCATCTGGATGAGGAAGGAAGAACTACACCTGTCCTGGACCTGCTGACAAAAGTACCCGAGCAAGGTAACATCAGCTGCTTCAAACACCACTGCTGAGCCCTCAGGCACAGCACCAGGCCCCTTCCTTGGCCAACATCTCTTTAGATAACACAGAACTCCACCTCATGGAGCTCAACAAGGCAAACAAACACCCATGGAGCAGCAGATATGCTTCACCTCCTCTATCATTCCTAAGGGTTTACAAACCACATCTGCCTGCAGGTGTCCTGCTTCACCCACCTGCTGTCAGCACTGCTGCAGCTCTTGGGAAAGAAATAACCTTCACTGTTGTGTTTTTCTGGCAGTCCTGGAGCAGAATCTGAGTGCTGTGGAGAGTGCCCCTGCCTGCTTCAGGAGCATGCTGCAGCTCCTTGGGATCGAGGCAGCCATCGAGAACCTCATCAAGATGGTTGGCCTGGGAAAGTGAGTGCCAGCATGACTTACACCAGGTAGCAATTTCAAAAGTAGTTTTAATTAAGATATTGTGTTACACCGTCTATAATTTTATTGAATATAAACATTAAGTTATTTTCCATTTAGAAACCATACTCATAAAACATGCTATCTGTACAATTATGGCACGTTATATATAAATTGTCATGACATGAAAATAAATACAGCCATTTAAATACAAAAATGCCAAATAAAATAGTTACATGTACAGAGTGATTTCATTATAAATTTATCTTTCTGAATCATTAATGTACCAGAGTGGTTTATCTTCTTAACATTTTCTAGATACCTGGAAATTGTTAAAAGATCATGCACTGTCAAAATCAAGTCCATAAAAATCCATTTCATTTCACAGCTCTGTAAAAGTACAGTGATTTTAAAATGACAAGAGAACAGTAAGAGACTCCTAGAACAAAGAGTTAAATAGTTTTCTCCTTAAATTAGGGTGGAAGAAGACAATTTGAAGATTTCAAAGACATACAATGCTAAAAAACCCAAGGGTATGAAGTAACTTTGTTCACAACGTAAGCGTTGAGACAGCGTTGGACTAACCCAGAGAGGCTCATGACACCCCTGGAGAGAGAGATGGGAGTTCACTCCTGCCACTGCAGCACTTCCTTTCCATTTCCAACTGCTAGGGGAAAATTCTAGTAGGTAACATATTATGAAAGCATCACCACTATTCATACATTCATCCCTGAAGAAACAAAACAGGTCAGACATATGTCTTGCCTCTCCCTTCACTTCCATTTGGGAACTCTCAGTGTTTTCCAAGAGCTCCTGCTCTGCACTAGCTCTCCGTCCCAGCCAAAGCAATACGACTGGAAGTCATGTACCTCTCAGGTAGGGAGTAACAGCTGCTGTTGTGGTGCCAAGGGCCCAAACCCACAACGTGTGGGCTCTCAAGTGACAGAAAGAGACTTCCATTCCAAGGCCAGAGCTGCTGCAGCCACACCAGAGTACAACCACCCACTCCACTTTGCAGTGACTGCAAAATGTCTTACTGCAATGGGGAAGTAGGTAGAGAAATCAAGAACTAAAGCAACAGTATGTTTATACCACCATAAATGTAATAATCCACTGTTTAATCACTGAAATAGTCTCCCACTGTTCTGGTAGGTCAGGAAAAACTGCCAAACTGCAGCCGAGCAACTCCAGAGATTAGGTTCTGATGAACAGCAGCTCCATAAGGAAATCTCCTGTCAGATAAGGCAGACTAATTTCAAGTTTGGAATCCAGTTCACAGGCAAGATTCATTGCTCCTTATCCACTGAGATGGAACTGGTTTAGCTGGTTTTGTGTAACCTTTAGTTCAGTTCAGCTTTAGCTCTCTCTTGCCTGAAAACAAAGCTCTTTGCTCAGCACAGACACTTCTATTTGCACATGAAACATGTGTAAAGTTATAGCACAAAAACCTGAAAACTTCCCAGCTGGAGGTGATCCTTCCTTCCTGCTTCCTAACAGCGGGAGAGTTTCTGTATTTAGGAGTAGCTCTCAGTGCACTCA